ATGGAAACAGTTGACCTGTTAAATATGCTCTGCTCGGGCGGAAACTATGTAGGAATCAATCTACGTATCGATTCCTTGCTGTGGGTGGGTAGGAAGATGGATCAGCCATGGTGAATGGAGAGCTCAGATCGGCCCGTCTGTGTACGAGGGGAGGGAAGAATTTGCTGGATGAGGATGTGGACCTAGATATCATACAGCACTTTGATGAAACTATCTATTCATGGAAGTTCTAGTGGGCGATGTTCAATGTCTTCTAGTGCAGAGGCACTACATTGTGAAAAGGAGAGCTTAGATTATAATTACTGTAACCCCGAAGAAACTTCTTCATCAATCGTGAAGGCCAATCCCAAGCAAGACCAACTAACAAGGCTGGTTTTGCGACAAGACCTTCCTAACATCCTTCATTACCTGTTTAATGAGTCCAAAGGCCAGGATTGTTTCTGCATAAGACGGTACCAGCTAGCACAGCCCAGCATGACTCTCGGCTCGCTATCATAAGGCTCGGTTACCATCTGAAGTAGATTCAATAAGTTGACTGAGTAGACCTTGTGGAGTCTAGATATCTAGGGGTGGTAACGACAAATCAGTGGCGTACATAGAAACCGGAGCTCGTAGCCTTCTAGTTGGCAATCTGACAGGCAAGTTTTCCGCAGCGAAAGCAGTTTGGGACGGCTTCCGTCCCTGCGCATTCGTTTTAGGACCAAAACCCCCCTCATCTGATTTCACGAGGACGTCGTCGATAGCATGATCCTTGATAGTGAGAGAGATTATATGCAGAAGAGATCTATACAGTTGTACATGGGGCTTCATGGGGCCGAAGTCATCTGGAATGGGTTTCGAATGGGTGGCGTTGTATCTGACAAAATAGAGCTCCCATCTATGAATAAACCTTGTTGATTGATGGCTGGGACAACACAGCCCCACCACCAGTTCTCCCCTCTCGAACTACCTATTCGATTGACGATGAACAGCAGTGGCGGCCCGCCTCTCTTGGAAGACACATAGAATTCTCGCGCATACAGAGTCCCCTCGGCCGGTGCTGCTAAGGGGTCCGCCTGGTTCCTTCAAAACGACATGTCATGGTCTGATGTGGCTTTTGTTCTCTTACGTGTGGAGAGTAGTGCAGCTCTAATGTACAGGTTGAGGAGCGATTAGTTGGCATCCGGTTGGCTCAGAATATACTCGACCGCCTTGTCAACTGTTCCAGGATCAGAGTCAGTAACCGGATCAAGCTAGGTATGAATAGATGATGCACGGGCAGTTGAAGCTGAAATACGTACCACTGTGGATAGCATCGGCATCCTTGTCGGGGATCTCAATGCTGAACTCCTGTATACGAAGTTAACAACCATTTCAAGTTCTAGCTGGGCACTTGGCTTGATGTAGCTCCTACAGCGAGCCCATTGCACAGCCAGATACCCGGCAAGAGGGACCAGAAATGCTTACCTCTTCTATCGCCATGACAACCTCCACTGTGTCCAAGCTGTCCAGACCGAGGTCATTGGTGAAGTGTGAAGTGGTCGTGACCTAATGAAGGGTCAGGATTAGCATGTTCGTATCACGTTGCCTTGACTGCCACCATCAAATCGAGGGTGGCATAATAGGAAGGGCTTCTTGTTCGTACATTCTGAGGGTCGTTGACCTGTGAAAGTATAGAGTTAGCAGGATATCCAGGCTCGGCATAGTCCAGCGCAACCGCCCAACATTTCCTCCGTTACGCGCGCATCATCAGTATATTGCAACTGCACGCATGATTTGAAACTCGAGCGACAACAGCGTCCCCCCATTCTTTATTTCCCCATCCTTTCCATCCACGCCCGTCCCCCCTTGTTCTTCCCGAAGCCACATAGCGTCTAGGAGCTCTCCCGGCGGCCAACCGCCCCGAAGAAATAAAACCACAACTACCCAACAAGCCTCGGAAAGAGGCACCAGCATCGGCGTAGCATCATTGAACTGACCTTGTCAAAGCCCTGCAGTATGCTGAGGATCCGGCCCTCGACCGTGGGCTTGTCCAGGCCTCCGCCAGCCGAGTACATGCGCACGGACTGAGCGGCGGCGGCCCATCGCGGTGCGGGGGCCAGGGCAGCTCTAGCAGCAGCAGCCGGGGCGACGGCTGTCCGGAGGGCAGCGGCGGCGGGTCTCGCGGCGACGCGGGATGCCTGGGCGGCGGTGCGGATTAATGCGGTGCGGAACATTTTTGCTTTCGTTTCGGTTCTGTTCGTTTTCGGGAGTGGGGGGTATTCCGGAGTTGCGCAAACGGTGGAACTGCTGCAGATCAGGTAGACAGACAGACGGCGAAGAGGATCCCAATTGATAGAGGGAAGCGGAGCGCGGGTCGCAGAGGTATTTTTTTCCGTTGGTGGTGGCCGGTATGTGGTCGGTGGTGGTGATGGTGATGGTGGTGGTGGTGATGTCTCAACCAAAAAGTCGATGATAAATTTCTCGTTGATGTCAATCTCCAATCCAATGGCAGATTGGCCTACCTTAGGTACAGTACCTACCTACAGTACCCAGCCTGCCAGCCTAAGCTTACCTACGCCACGCTACAGCGAGCGCTACAGCAGCAGAGCGAGATAAAGCTTCGGGGCTCCTCCTTTGCTTGGCAGCTTAGGTAACTGAAACTAAGCCCCTCTATAGCCAACTATGTGATCCGAGCTTCCAGCTAGGTAGGTACCTACCCGGGTACCTTGCTAAAGTCGCTTCGGACAGTCGGGGAAATCGGTGCATTCGGGTCGGGCTGAAATCAAGTTCGGCATGGATGGGAAATCCGCAAGATCTGATAGGCTCAAATAGGAGGTTAGTGCAAGCTCTGCCAGCTGACAATGCTGCTTCCAACTGCCAATTAGGTTTCCGTCGCGACCGGGACAAGGTCGAGGTCCCCTCTCATCATAGGGGCAAGGGGTTGCATAGCCATGCGCTTTATAGTTGTAGTTCATAGTTACGTCACCGTCACGACCAGAATCTTACAGGCTGAATGAAGCCTAGGTATAATGCGTTCCAGTAGTGATTTTCTGCATGATAGAATGGCGAGGTCATGTTGCTTTATCTGCCAGATTTCAAGGTTGTGTTGACCAAGATCCTGCGCCAACAGCTTTGAAAGCTCTTAGTATGAGCCATTTCCCTTAAATGCACCCGACAGACAGGATATCATCACAAATCAAATATGCTCTTTTTTAGTTCTAGGCAATAATATATACAGTGCTAGCTGTACCCTTCCACAGCATTTTCCAGTCGCAGCGCAAACCCATCTGTCGGCTCTACCAAGCCAACTAATCTTATCTGTAAGGAGAATCGGCCCGGATGACGGCCGCCAGCTCAGGCTCCCACTTGTCTCCGTTGGCCAGCAGCTTCTCTTTGTTGTACAGCAGCTCCTCTCTCGTCTCCGTGGCGTACTCGGCATTGGGCGACTCGACGATGGCATCCACGGGACATGATTCTTGGCAGAAGCCGCAGTAGATGCACTTGGTCATATCGATATCGTAGCGTGTCGTTCGTCTTGACCCATCGGCTCGCTCCTCTGCCTCGATCGTGATAGCCTGGGCCGGGCAGATCTGTATTCATAGTCAGTTCCGTTTCTGACAAACAAGGTAATCGAATGCTGGTAGCAATAAAACCAGCCTGTTGTGGAGTCGCTGTGATTGAGGGGGAGAGCAACATACAGCTTCGCATAGTTTGCAGGCAATGCACCGCTCTTCGCCAGAGGGATATCGTCTGAGGGCGTGCTCGCCACGGAATCGAGGAGAGATAGGGCCCTAATGTCCACAGAACGCAAGTCAGTTACAGTCCCTACAATCTACATCTCTTCGGAGTCGACCAATTCATTTCAGGTGTGATATAGAGGTAGCTCGCGCATAGACGTCGTAGATCTGGAAAACAACTGCCTGGACTAACCTTCTCGAACGGGTAGTAGATCGTGTATCTAGAATGAGATAGCGTCAGTACTGCGCCAAGAAAAAATAATATAAACCCACGAGGGCCCTCGCCGGCAGTGACTTGACTTACGGTGGTCTGAAGAACTGCTCCAATGCGACGTACATGCCGCGGAACATCTCCGTCATCAGGAAGAACTTGCCGAGGCTATCGAACGTCGACTCCTTCTTCTCGTCCCAAGCCGGTGGTCTGGAAAGCCGGAAGCCCTTGGGCGGAGGACCGGAGGGCGTGGCGTATGTGCGTTGCGCGACGATTCTGGCGATGGAGGATGCCGCTATGGGTTGCCGCCGCACGAGCTGGCGCGATAGCATGGCGGCGGCGGCGGCATTTGTCGAAGTCGCGAGCCCTTGCATGGTGTCGTCGTTGTTTCGGTGGATATGCCGTTCAATGCGACGAGGAGGAAGTCGTGAGGCAGGGCGTGGTGAGGATACTGTAGGTAGCGAAGGCTGTCAAGAGGGCGAGAGGTTGAGTTCAATTGTTTCTAGGAAAGGCGGCGAATCTTGACGACACTTGAGATCATCGCCTGGCAGTTCGATATCTCAGAATTTGGGGATCCATGGATGTTGCGCAGTGGAGGGTGGAGCTTGCACTGACAGCTTGAGCCAATCACGCGGTTGAACTTTGTAATTGGGGGGAGCCAATGATTGAAATGATGAATCACGTGCATTCTTAATTGACTCTCACAGTGCTATCGGTCTCTTAACAAGCCACAGCGATGTATGTATGTATGTACCTACTCCGTACCTCGAGCCACACTTAACCCCACCTCCACCACCTGCAGACCCCGCCCCCGGCTGGATTCGCCTTGCATCGGATTGATAGATGTCCTTGCCTCTTGAGTTGTGTGAAATCAATAGTGTGAAAATGGGTAGACACGGACAGACGGAGTAGCCCCGCTCCCCTGCCCCCGCGGCCTCAACGGTCTTGATCGCAACTCCTTTTCTGGCACTGCCGGCACTGTCACACGTCCTGGCTTCCAAACAACCATGAATGACTTTGCGAGTAAAAAGGTAAAAGAATCGACACAAGTAGGAAGCAACTACAAAACCTAAACAGACAAAAATATAAGTCGACACGAGTAGGACTTGAACCTACGCTCCCGAAGGAATAAGATGATTAGATCAATATTGATTCTTGATTCTAGTCTTACGCAATAACCACTCTGCCATCGTGCCGGATGAAGTTCGTATCTCGAACTGTGATTTGGTTAATTTTATTTGCTTACTTATATCTAGCGCGCTTGGTGTGTCTGGATCCCGGATGGATGTCCGACCAATCCAATCCATCTTTGCCAATCCATTCCGCTGCACGGAGCACACGGAGTACAGGTACTCGGGGTATACCTAGGTACCTAGCTGGTTCGGTCCACAGTTACCTGTAGCACTAATAGCAATAGTACAACCAGCACTATTAGCAATACAATAGTTACTTCGTATGCGCTCCCACTCACCCTATGAGCAGTTATCTCGTATTTTTGCAGAACTTCCAAGCGTTTATACGTGCACCAACCAATACAGTCGATATCATGGCAATATCCACGGTACCTGTAGCCAGGAGGGTCTCTCGATAAGCCTATGAGCCTATGCACCTAGCTACGTACTCACTTGTTTGGTATCACCAGTTTTGTCATACTGGTACTTGTCGTTATCCAGCGCTACATTGGTTAGTTATACAAATCGAGTGGTAATAGATTATGTAGGTGGGTTAGCAGTATGCAGTTGGTGACCGAAAATCTAGTTAAAGACCCCAGACCCCGGTTCACTACCATGAACAGAATCGCCGATATTGAACCAGGTAGGCAGCAGAAGAGACATCTCCCAAATACTCAGCCAACCAAAGAAATGTTCATTCGCAGAATAGCATAGCTACGCTCTAGTTAGTTGTCTAATTGCTAAAACTACGTACTGAGCTCCGTATGACTAAATACTATGGTAGCATTCCTCTCTGTAACCACACCTTGAACGCGGCTCCATACCCCAAACCCGGTAATATGGTTCTGACACCAATCGGGAAGCCGGTAGCTTGCTTGAAAGATTCCTCGCTTAGATGAAGACGTCAGGTACATATGTCAGGTACGTATGGTTGATTTGGATATCCTCGAGAGCCGCACCCTCGAGGAGTACGCGGGAGGTCTTTTTCTTAGACCCCAAGGGATTGAAGAATACCTCGAGCTCTATTTGAATGAAAGTCGAGCCACGAATCCTGGTTGCTAGCAGTACTACATCTCCAAACGATGAGTTGATCAACAGCCCTAGGTGTATACTTTTCCAGCATCAAACTCCAAGGCATTCCATACCTTGCTCTATATATCTTGAAAAGATATAAGTGCAATCGACATACTCCTATGTATGCATAAAACTTACGAACATCTGTGCGATACAGGAACAATAGTGGTTCGTGATGTAATTACTTCAACACGATGAGAACATCCAACAGGCATTGCGATAGGACCCCGCCCCCACCTCACTCTCCAGGTCGTTTTGATAGATCAACTGCATGGGATATTGATGTGTTGTTGAAGGATGCTTTCTCGGTATGGACTAGGTAGCTGCGTGGTCTGCAGGACTGCAGGTGTAGACGAACGTTGCGCTTAACAAATGGATAATAATAGCCTGGGATATGGATTGGGTAATGCGCCCATGACGTCTCTTACCACATGTATAAAGGTAATTACCAGAATCGTACGAGGTACCATGTGGAGTCTATATATGGAGTGTCTACGTAAAAACCACGGGCTTAAGATCGTGTCATTGGCCGGATTGCAGGATACCAGCTATCGGGGCCCGTACCGACCCGTTGTATCTCCCGTGATCTATACTACAAAAAGTAGTGTATACCGAAATCAAAATCCACGGTCCCGGAGAAGTCGAGATCATAACGATTGCTTTGCTGCTAACAAAGCACCTAGCCTTCCCCGACGTTCTATCAGTACAAAGTCCTAGCCCCTGATAGTTAGCACGATGGACAACACGATAGGACCGGCAGCGGATATAGGTAACATGCGGTTCGGAATGCTATGTATGCATGCATTGATATCCTCAACTACACTTCAGAGTAAGCGTGGCTTTAGCTACGTGGCTCTAGTACAGCTAGATCCTTGTATTCTATGCCTATTCACTATTCACTAGGCCCCAATCCCATCCGATTCCATGCATGTTGCTAAACCTGCTCTGGGAGAGTATAGGCTAGACGCATATACAATGCAGCGTGATGATTGAACGTATACGTCCTAGACCGGGGGGACTGTTCCTTCTCGTGCACTAGGGGGGACCGGAATTCAGGGTTCTTACCACGTTTCTCGATCGACGCACCCGGGACTCTGGGGTTTGACAACGGCAAGAGCCCACCCTCCCATACACTATATATTTGCTATCGCAAGGGGAATCCAGCACGCCATTAGCTAGGCTGTTCGTCAACTCTATACCTCCACGCCGCGGCCCTACCCCTATCGTGCTTCCAAACGATTCACGATGACCTCCGCTAATGCTATAATACAAGCCCTTGAAGCTATCAATGCCGATTCGTTTGCTGATACAAATGAGCGGCATCGTGTTGAGGACGCGCTCGTCGCTGCGTTGAACAGGGTCCGGACTCCGTGGGATATTGGATGGAATCACGTCTGGGTGAATGCCCCTACGAACGCCTCCATCAAGATCCTCATAGATGCGGGCATCTTCAAGAAATGGGTGGAAAATGGAAGCAAACCACAGACTACTGATGAACTGGCCGAGTTCACCAGCACAGATCCAGCTCTCATCCGTAAGATATCATTTTCATACCAGGAAGGTATCATATCCGGCCACAGAGACTGACGACTAGACAACAGGGCGTCTTCTAAGACAACTCGCTTCGCAGCATCTTATATTGGAGACGGCAGAGGACACATATGCGCCCAGTCCGTGGGCCATCAGATTGGGAACGGACCCGGCGTTCCCCTCCGTATACGGGACCTTCTATCATGACACGATCCTGCCCCTATTGGGGTCGTTGCCATCGTTCATCAAGGAGACCGGCTTCAAGAACCCGAGAGATTCAGACAACTGCACCTTCCAGTACGTCCGGGGGCCGGGCACCAGCTACTTCGACTGGGTCTCGAGGGATCCGCTCCACAACGCAGAGTTCGCCGACGCGATGGAGTGCCACTCCCGCGGCAACCTGACGGCCTGGGTCGACCTGTACCCCACCTCTACCCTCCTGCGAGGCGCCAAGCCCGACCGGCCGCTCGTCGTCGACATCGGCGGGAGCAAGGGCCACGACCTGGAGAAGTTCCGGCTGAAGCACGCGGACGCGCTGCCGGACGGCAGCCTCGTGCTGGAGGACCTTCCCGGCATCCTGCAGGACGTGCGGATCGGCGACGACCGGCGGGCCATCGCCGTGACGCCGTACGACTTCCTCACGCCGCAGCCGGTGCGCGGCGCGCGCGCCTACTTCCTGCACATCGTGCTGCACGACTGGCCCGACGACGTGTGCGTCCGCATCCTGCGCAACGTCGCCGCCGCCATGGAGCCCGGCTACTCGAAGCTGCTGATCCACGAGACCCTCGTGGCCGACGTGCGCCCGTCGCCCCGCGTCACCGCCACCGACATCTCCATGATGGCCATCTTCGCGTCGGCCGAGCGGAGCGAGAGGGAGTGGCGCCGGCTCATCGAGACGGACGGGCTGGGGCTGCGCGTCGTCAAGATCTGGAACCCGCACCAGACTATGGAGAGCATCATCGAGGTCGAGCTGGCTGGCGAAGAAGCAGAAGCGAGAGAACATGGGCCGCCGCGGGGTGCAGATCAAGATTTGCGTACCAATCACCCTAGGTTGTAGACTGAAGTCCACTCCTAGTTATCTGTGTATATTGATAGGGGGTGCTTTGTACACAGTATTTAATAAATAACGCGAAGCCATACTTGCTTTTAGTCGGGTGTTTCAATGAAGTATGGTGATGCAAAGAGACCGAAGCGACCTTGAACTACGTGCGAGGGCAAAAAATCAAGAGTCCCATGATTGATCCAATACAGGCAGCGCAACAGCATTGGTACCGAGTTAACTTACCATCACGGGGCCAAGCTCCAGGCATTATATCGATTAAACTTCCTATGAATTGCTATCATCCGTTCTATATTTTCCCAGCCGCCTACGTGAACAAGTACTCAGCTCAAGATGCCTTCTCAATAATCACCACCTTGCTATCGTAATCGCCGTCAAAGTAATGCTGCAACCCAATATTCATCAGCGTCGAGCCCGAGTACGTCGCGTTGCCGTCGACCGTGTACCTGGCCGCGGGATCCAGGCCCTGCAGGCGCAGGAACGGCGCGGCGCGGTTGATGTTGGCGCGGACCTGGAACCAGAACAGCACGGCGCGGGCGCCGCCCTCATCTTCGGGCGCGACGAACAGCGCGGCGGGCCAGTTGGATTCCTCGGGGAGGGCGAGGCGCCAGAGGTCGCCGCGGACCACGACGGGGCTCACGCGCTCGGCGAGCGCGACGAGGTCCGGGATCTGATCCCGGTCGCCGGCGTCGAGCGCGGCCGGGTCGAGCTCGAAGCCGAACGAGCCGCCCATCATGGCGACGTGGGCGCGGAACCGGAACGGCGTGGTGCGCCCCGTCTGGTGGTTCGGCACGGCGGACACGTGGGCGCCCATGGCCGACGCCGGGTACGCCAGCGACGTGCCGAACTGGATGGCGAGGCGCTCGAAGCCGTCCGTGTCGTCCGACGTCCAGATCTGCGGGAAGTACGGCAGCATGCCCGGGTCGAAGCGGCCGCCGCCCGAGGCGCAGCCCTCGAACAGCACGTCCGGGAAACGCGCCGTCAGCGCCCCCAGCACGCGGTACAGGCCCAGCATGTAGGCGTGGCCGGCGCTGGGCCCGGGCGTCTCGTGCAGGCCCCGGTTGTTGTCCCACTTCACGTACGACACGGCGGCGCTGTCGAGGATCTTCGACACCGACTCGATGATGTAGTCCTGCACCTCGGGCAGCCCCACGTTCAGCACCAGCTGGTTCCGCCGCTCCGTGCGCGGGTACGCCCCCGCGTGCAGCGCCCAGTCCGGGTGCGCGTCGTACAGCTCCGAGCGCGGGCTGACCATCTCGGGCTCGAACCACAGGCCGAAGCGCAGCTTCTCCTTCGCCGACGACGAGTCGTTACCGCTGCCAGCGGGTTGCAGCTGGGTGATCCGGTCGACGAGGGGGCC